TTCCCATGTACTGTTATTGTTATGGTTACCGTTGAGACCTCTACTGTTGAGACCAGTACTGTTAGTACTTCCACATGGAATGTACCTCCTGGTTCTCATCAGTATGATTATTGTGGCCGACCAGGACATCTCAGGACTATTTGTTTGAAGCTTTATACGGAGTTTAAGTCGCCTCCTCGCAATCGTACTATTGTTATTGTTGAGGTACCATCACCTAATGCCATTGCTCCTGCTCCTCCTCCTCCTTGGCAGAGTGATATGAATGACATCACTTTCTGATTAGATATACTTATATCCGCTCTGACTTCTCAAGGTCCGACTACTGCTACTATCACGACTACAGGTATACCTCGTGTCTTTTATGTTTGTGCCAGTCCGTCTCCTATTTGGATGTTGGACTCGAGTGCGAATGATCATATGACAGGTGAGGCCCATTACTTCACCACTTTTGACAAGCAGTTACATACAATAGTTCAACTAGCAAATGAGACACATGCCTATATTTTTAGTAGGGGTACAGTCCGCCTCCCAAATGACTTTACATTATATTCAATTTTTTATGCGTCAAAACTAGCCATGAATCTATTATCTGTACATCAGCTAGCTAGAAATTTTTACTGTGCGGTTGTGTTTTTATCTAATTTGTGTTATTTGTAGGACATAAGTACCAGGAGGATTATTATCAGGGGACATGAGAGAGATGTATTGTATTATCTAGGTAATCCACCTTCAATTTTACCAGTTCCTCCACCTCCATCACCTGCATCTCTAGTTTCACCAGTTCCTTCACCTCCATCACCTATACCTGCTTTGTCTTTATCTGTTCTTAGCTTGCATACTAGCATTTTGCCTAGCACTTATCGTTATAATTTTTCATCACAAATTGTTCAGTTGTGGCATGACCGTTTTGACTATACAAATTTTAAATATTTATGTATGTTATTTCCTGCTTTAAGCAATGCTTATGTTGGTGGTAAACTTGACTGTGCTATATGTTTCCTATCGAAATATATTTGGACTAGTTATATTCTTAGCATGCACCAGTTACCCAAGTCATTTGACCTAATATACTATAATATTTGGGGACTCTCTCCTGTTACTGCTATGTCAAGTGTTCGATACTATGTGACATTTATAGATGATCAAACCCGTTGTACTTGGGTCTAACTTTTGCATAGGATGTCTAATGTACTCCTTGTCATCACTCAGTTTCTTCAGATGATTAAGACACAATTCGATGTCATTGTTCGTGCTCTTCGTTCAGACAATGCTAAAGAATATGTGTCTGATGTATTAGTGTCTCACATTTCCTTTAGAGTATCCTTCAATACCTCATTTATCCATATACTTTTGAGCAAAATGGAGTTACTGAAAGAAAAAATAGGAGTCTAATAGGGATGATACGTTGTATGCTTAGAGGTATGAAGGTACTAAAATTTTATTGGCATTTTGTTGTTTTCACTTATACTTTTATGTGTAATCGTACACCGAGTCGTGTTCTTTAGCATAGAGCTTCCTTACAAGTCTTATTCTCTGAGCGGACACTTTTTTTGGTCCCTCCTCATATTTTTGGCTGCACATATTTTGTTTAGGATCAGTCTCCTAATCGCCAAAAGTTTGATGATAAAATGATTAGTTGTGTTTTTGTGGGCTATTGTCATCAGTCGAAGGGGTATTGGTGTTATCATCCTATTAGGCGTCGTATGTATCATAATCTAGATATTACCTTTCTTGAGCACATTCCTTATTTTTCTTTTAGTTTTGTCTCTGCCCCTCTAGTTGATGATACTCCCTTTGATTTTTCGTTACCCAGAAACCAAATTCATTGATCACTATCATTACAGAGTCATCAGTCTCTCCTCCTCTAGAGCCACTCATCCCCTGTTAGTATAGAGTCACCAGTCTCTCTTCCTTTGCAGATTTTTGTTGGTTGCCCTCGCTCTTATCCCCCTGTTGATGTCCCCTCTACCTCAGACGATGCAGGTAATACTTCTCAATTCATTGAGCATATTGATACACATCATGTTAGTACTGATGAGATTGCAGGTATTGAGCCAATTACTTTTCCTGATGAGACATTGTCAGTGGAGGATGATGATTTAGGGTGTCGTTATCCGCAACGTGATCGCCGTTTAGTTGTTCGTTATGGTTGGACCGTTAAGACTTTATATTCGATCTCTGCTTATGTTTCTTATGGTGATCTGTCTTCTACATTTCGAGCTTATAGTTTGGTCTTATTAGATACGTCGGTTCCTCACTCTATTTTAAAGGCTATGTGGGAGCCCCACTGGGTTCTTGTCATGCAAATGGAGATGGACGCTCTTCAACGTAATCATAAGTGGGATCTTGTCTCTTTACCTTCAGGGGTGAAGAATGTTAGTTGTTGTTGGGTTTATACTCTGAAGTTTCTTGCGGATGGTACTATTGATCGTCATAAGGTCAGACTTGTGGCGAAATGCTTTACTTAGGTACTAGGTCGTGATTTTGGTGCTACCTTTGCCCCCGTGGCAAAATTGACTATTACTCGATTGATTATTTTTCTGGCTGTAGAATACTCTTGGCTTCTTCATCAGTTAGATGTGAAGAATGCGTTTCTTCACGGTAATCTAGACTGGATTATTTATAAGGATGTACTACCAGACTTTTGTTGTGAGGGGAATATGCTGGGAAGGTGTATCGACTGCATATGTCTCTTTATGAACTGAAATAGTCACCACGAGCCTGGTTCTCTCGGCTTAGTGGTGCAGTTGTACGTTTAAGGTTCCCAGATGTCATTCAGATCATACATGCTTTATTTTATGGAATACTTCTGGACAGTGCGTCATCCTTTTGGTATATGAGGATGATTTTATGAGTTTTTCTTCTATTTTTTGGAATTTTGTCAAGGGTCCCACATAATTTTTTTTTGTTTATTATATTCATAAAATATTATTAGTAATGTTAAAAAATTTAAAATTCATATTTTAGGAAATTCATAAAATATACATGTAATTAATTTGTAGTTATAAATCACTAAAGCTTCAAGATTCTATTTAGATTCTATGTATCTCCTTTTGCAAATCACTAAGCTAATCTCACGCAAGTCTTTTGCTCATTGTGGTGGCGTTGGGATTCAGACACAAAACCTCCTACTAAACAACGTCGTAGATTATAGAGTTTTGCAGATTTTTCGTTTAAGATCTCATATTCCAATCAAAATGATTTCTAAAGTGCCTAATTCATAATTGTTAAGGTGATGTTATGAGATGGAGGAGTTAGGCACTGTTTAATAAGATTGAAAGATTAATGCTGAAAACTAAATGCTGAATTTTAAGTGTTGAGTACTAAATTTGTATTTTATGGACTGTTTGGTACCCACTAAAATTTAAGTACTGAATTGAACCAAAATATTTAATAATTATACACAATTGAAGTCTGAAAATAAATTAATTTTTAATTTTACCCTTTTATTTTTAACTTTGAAAACATTTATAAAATATGCATTTATCTAATAAAAAATCACAATATATCATTATTATCATACTTTACTCTACATTTAACAAAAAAAAACAAAGATGATAATAAAATTAGTTCAAGTTAAATTAATCACTTAAAACTGTCAATTGTTATAAATTTTAAAAATTACAACAATGACACAAAATTACAAATCAAGAGTTTAATTGCTTACAATTTATTCACACAAATTGAGCATAAAAATTTTGCATGTGATTTTGTGTTTGTGTTTGTGTGTGTGCGCGCCTGCGCCTGCGTGTGTGTAATTTGGGTGTGTGTGTTTACATGTTAGTTGTGTGTGTGTGTGTGTGAGAGAGAGAGAGAGAGAGGAGAAGAGAGCATACTGGACCTCTTTGACAGTTACAGTACAAGTTAGGGAGATTGACGGTTTTGGAGAAATGAATACTTTAGAGTTTTAGTAAGATTATGAAACATTTCAGGGTAAATTGTTATACTGAAAAAAATATAAAAGATATTCTTTTTGAGCTCTTTTAACTTTTAGAATTAAGTCAGAGATTTCTTATTTAATATTTTAGACAATTTTTAATTTTAATTTTAATTATCAAGTGGACTTAATTATTTAGTGTCGAATAAACTCTTAATATGTGAGTAAATATTTAAGTAACAAGTATACAATATCGATATTATCACGTAATATAGTCGTTCAATAAAATACTTAAAAAAAATAAACAAAACGACTCAATCGGTGTATCAGTTTGATGTATGTTGGGCAGTCGGTGGAGTGGGGGCAGAGGCTTAACTGTAATTTGCCTTTCATTTTATCCCAATTCTTGTAGGTTTAAAAGATAACTGTTTTGTAATATTACAACTGTAATGGAACGTTCCAATCCAATCAAAAACCTTGAACAAAATAGATATCAATTTCAATAAAAAAAATAATAATCATGGAGAGTCATAATTCTACTAAAACTCGAAAATAATTCAAACAAGACTTGATGATTATATATTCTCTCTCTCTCTCTCTCTATATATATATATATATATAGGTCGATCATTACCCTACACCAATAAACTGAATATTGATTTTTTGGCAACCATGGCGGTGAATAACAATAGTCACAAAGAACCAGAATGGAAGAGATACATTCCATTAGGGTACGTTTTTCATCCAACTGATAGAGAGGTTTTTAAGTATTTGCTAGCAAGGGTGTATGGAGAACCCATCTTGCCCGGGCTCATCCATGACACAGACATCTGTCAATGTCAACCGTTGGATCGTCCAGGTATATATATCCAAACTTTTCCAATATCTCAATGATAGTGGTTGAAAGATGCTACAGTTTGAATACTGATAACATATGATTAAGTTGATGTTGTAATTTGTTGTTTTCTTGACATTCTTGTTTCATTATGTGCATGTGACAAAAAAAAAAAAAGACTTGGAAAGAGGAGCAGAATCTTCGTTCTTTTTTATGTTGAGAGAGAGAAAATATCCAAATGGAAAGAGACCTTCTCAGTTTACAAAAGATGGTAATGGGTATTGGAGAATGATGAGCAAGCTCAATGAGGTTAGAGAGTTGGATGGGTTACTCTTAGGGAAGAAGAACACTTTGGTTTACACCCTCAAGGCAGAAGGAGAACAAGGCAAAGGTCGAAAGATGGATTGGATAATGCAAGAATATGTGCTTGATGAAAGTTTAGGCTCGGTAAGACTATTAACATACCTAATACATAATCTACATTTGTAAATAAGTTGGGTATGAGGTGAATAATTTTTTTGACACGACATGACTTATACAGGTGGACGATATTGTGCTGTGTAAAATTTACGAAAAAATTATCAGGAAAAGAAAGCGAAAAGAGCCCAAGTGACAGACAAGTGAGTAGTGTACAAGGAAGGTTGTGTACTGAATCATCAGTTGTAGCTGATCATCAAACAAGTCTTGGTAAGAGGAAGCAATCACCAGTCCATTACACAGTACTTGAGGTTGGCGAGCCGAGCTGCAGTGGCCAATGGAACAGTAACCCACAACCTTATGAACCAAGCAAAAAGTCCAAGCACTCGGTTGGCGAACCTTGCCAATTACCCACAAAGTCTAGTCCTTTTCAGGTTGGCCAAATAAATAATAGGCTAATTAGCCAGTACTTGGTTTATGAAACTTCTGGATTGGGGGTTGGTAAGTCATCGAGTGAAGCAGCTTGCCAATTGAACCAACAACAATCTACTAATCAACAAGAAGCTTTTAGGCCTTTGAGTAGTGTTACACCACCAACATGGGAAATCAGTGAAACAAATTCATCAGGCCTAATGGTCTTCAACCACAACCTGTACATTAGACAACTACCAACCATGATTGACAGAAATGATCCACTGATTCCTCTAATGGTAAACTATGATGATCAATATGGGCCTATTGCTGCTGGAAGTAGGGGACAACAGATACCATTTGAGGAGTCCTCAAATGTCGGTTTTCAGAACAACTTTGTTTTCAGCAATGAACATGATGATCATCAGCAACTGCAGAACAACACGAGTACTATAGATCACTCGAGTTCGCAGACTTGCAATTCTGGAGGAAACCAACAGCTGCCAGACGAGTTTCTTGCTCTACCAACAAGCAGATGCGCCGGATTTTATCAAACACAACTTGGAATGCCACACGAAGAATATGGGTTTGATTTGCTTTCCCTCATAGAAGATGAACGGTTGTTCATTGAAAAGTTTTTTTTGTAACAAATAACGTATTAGATTGTGTCTAGACTCTAGAATCCTAGATGTTTACAACTATAACTTTGGTTGTATATAAAGGCTATTGTTTGGTTGTTTAATTTACTTGCTTAATTTTATTTTTAATTTTCAATGGTTAGAGGTGTATGTGCCAACTTACGTACATCTCAATTAATTCTCTGCACGATTCGGTTAAAGGTAGACCCACTCTCTCTAGTTAGGTTAAAGGCAAACTCATCCACGCCGAGACTAGAATATTCATGATGGATAAATTTGTCATAACTTGGAGTTAAAGGATTACCAAGATTCGAACTTGAGACATCTAAATTTATAACCCATTCCTATTACCACTAAAATTATTCCTTAGGGTTAAAAAAAAAGGTATTTATTTGGTTAATTTCAATGTGGGGCATTGTAGTTTAAGCTATACTAGTTCACAAACAGTAGCAATAGATTTGTTTTGGTTAGAAAGCAATTCTACAATGACTCTTTTTACAGTTACTGTATGATTCTTGAAGTCTTGACCAGCCAAGGAAAAAAAAACAGGTGGTCACATGATTCGACCAAGCAAACGGAATCAGTAAAGTTGAAGAAGAAGATCATGTTTTAGGCCCTCATTAGCTTAACTTTGTAATATATGGAATTCAATGTTTTTTGATTATTTCCATCTTCACAATCTTTTCCCTCTGCATGTATGTTAAGAAAGTAAAAACCAAATTTTATAGTTGTTATGAACCCATGAGTATAACTTGTCCCTAAAAATCGGCTTGTAAAAAAAAGATACCAAGAGTTTATATACACATATCTAATTTTATTTTTAATCGATGTAGGATCTTAACATGGTCATAGCAAGTATTAAATTACTATGTACTCTAAAAACTTAAATTGTTAAAAGGGTGCGTAACTTGAAAACTATTTCATTCATCATATATTATTTTCGATTGAGAACTCGCATGATTAGGGCAACTTGAATAAAAAGAAACATAGGAGAAAAACAAATATTGAATTGGATGGTGGGTGCTTATTAAGCCACAAGATGCTTTCCCATCACCACTATCTGAATGTAAACGGTGTAGCAGAAATGAATATCAAGCCCACAACAGCGGTCACAAATCCATATGATCGTTTTTTCAGTCTCACTAATACTAATGGAAGGCTGGATGGGGAGGAAAGTAACCATTAGAGATAATAGAAGGCAGAAACACGAAGAATAAGCCATTTTAGTGTTCTTAGTTTGAAGGTTAGGAGAGATGAAATGGATTGAATGTAGTGCTCGTATTTATACCATTAACATCAAGAAGAAGCATTAATTTTTTTTTTGTCTTTGTAATTGCTTTGAAAGATGATTGTGCATGGATATGGATATATGTAATCTTTTTAGATTCATACTCTCATGATCCCACAAGAATTCTCATGCCTGCATTAAATGTCAAAGTCATTTTTATAATAATTGGTTCCAAAGGTATTTTTGGTGATAAGTTAATAGCTCCTAACTCACTACAAGAATTATGACCTTTTGAGATAGTTTTTTTGTAGCAACTGTGTCCACCGTCACCAAAAAAATAAAAAAAATTGTGGCAAAAATATTGTCACAAAAGGGTTATTTGCTGCTGCAAGTATCATTTGAGATGACTTATTGTTGCCATAAAGACCTCCACTTATCATGGCGGCCAATGCCACAGCATTAAGTCCTCTCAAATAGTATTTGAAGTAGCAAATAACCATTTTGTGACAGCACTACCACCACAAAAAATTTCTTTTTCTTCAAAACACCTTTTTTTTTTTAAATGATGGTGAACACAGCTGCCGCAACAAAAAACTTGTCTCAAAAAACTCTACATGTCAACGCCATTTTATTTTTAGCATAGTGACCATGTGATTTCTCCTTACTATATTTGTGCATAGACATATGTAATATATCCTCATATATTCATATAAGTGAACACAATATATAAATTTGCATGGCCATTCTAGCATAGTGTTGAAAATGTTGTCGTGACATTTCTCGAGTAGTATGGCGTCAAAAGTTTAGTTTGACTTAACATCTTAACCTACGGATATCTAGGTGTATGTTACATTTGAAACTTAAAAATTTTAGTTTTCAATGTGTGATTGATTGTCGTGACTTGCAAATAATATGGTTTTTTTTTTCTTGCATGTTTATCTATTGGGCTGTGAAGTGTCATGAAGATGGAAATGACGAACCAACACTAGATTCATATTTTACAAAATAAAACTCAAATCAACAAATTCTTGTCGCAATCATTTAAGAACAATTGTATGACTTGTGTATTCCTTCATTACTAAGTTCTTACAAATCTTGTCGTAATTATAACCTTCTTGTTGTTAGCTTGCTCAATACTACGTTCCTTATGCAAAACACAACAATCTTAATTGCTGGGAAAAAAAACACAACAATCTCCATCCCTTGATTGTTGCATGTTACATGGTTATGTGGTAGCTAAAATTTTAGTTTGAAAGGTATGATTTGATTTCCGTGTCCATTAGATAATGTGGTTGCTTCTTCTTTATTTTTTAGGCGGAGAAGAGTTGTGAAAAATAAATTATCAACTAAAATTACAGTTAAATAAATAAAACTTATCGTTTTTAATCATGTCACGTATACACATTGCGAGTTTGGAAGGGGGGGGGGTAGCAGAGTTCAACAAGAGGTTCAATATGTATGTTTAAAATTCAAAGTCACCTAAAAATGTAAACCTGGTGGTGATAAACTCGTTCATATTATATTAAGATTTTTTTTTCCATTTTTTCCTTCTAATTCGGTATTTCCACACACCAAGGGATTCAATCATATAAAATTGGGGACATGGCTGCCATATCAATTGCACGGAGATAATGAACTCAACTACAATTGGCCCAATAAGCATGCTTAGAATCGAAACTCACTTAAAAATTGAAACTAATAGATAACGAGTCTATTTATAGTATATTAAGACATGTTCACTTCTTTTTATTTTCGATGGTAGATTTTCTCCTTGATATATCAATAGAGAAAGAGAAAATATTAATACGAGCATGCATGGTGGTGGTGAGATACGTAACAACAAGTTCTCTTAATTTTGGTTCTGAATAACAAGGAGCCTTTTTCTTAATTGACCTACTTCCTTCTGAGTGGATGAATGAATTATTAGGTTTGGCTATGCCTATGCCATTGCTTGTAGATATATATACTAGTTGTAATATTAGATAGATTTGTAAGTAGATCTATGTGATTTTCAAGGATAAATACAATAATGTTCATGACTCGACACTCTGTCTCAAGCATAACAACGATCGAATAATTGCTTCTCAAAGACATAATAGATATATGTAATCTTCATAGATTCATGGACATGAATTCAATAATCTTCATAGACTCATAGGCAAGAATTTAATAATCTTCATGCATAGATAAAATGTCAAATCCATCTTAGCTTAGTGACAATGTAACAACTGCATATGTAATCAGAGGTAGTGTAATCTACCTTCAACACACACACACACACACACACAAGAGACATGGTTCAACCTATATATAAGTTATTATCATATTTCATTCATATAGAATATGTCCTTCCAATGAAGAACTCTCATGATTAGACCCAAGTACAAAGAAGAAAAAATACTAAAGGATCGATGGATGCTCATTAAGCCACAAGAAGATTCCTAGTGAGCATTGCCATGTTGATGAGCAACACTTTCATTTGCCCCCACTAATGAGAATATTGGCAGTGGTTATTGCCATCTTGATGAGGATTTTCATTTGCTGATTCTTCGGACCCAATGGGGGATTGTTGAATAGGTTTTGGCAGTCATTCACGGGTCTTTCTGCCTTAGATTCAGAAAAAATCACAGAATTGTAATCCCTAGAATTGAATTCCCTAAAGGCCTCCCAGAAAAGATCTGTTATTATACTATAACCTTCTGCACAGATCGTGTAAAGGTCCTTCTGTGTTTTATCTGAAGTTGAATCTATCAATTTCACTATAAAAAGGTGAGTGTTTGTCGCATTTAGTAGTGATTGGGAAATTGTTAGTTGAGTCAGAGCATTAGCATTTGCTGATGGAGTTAAAATGTGTTGGGTGAAAACTGAGGCACAGAAATAAAAGTCAGATGAACAACATGTGTTGCAGATTTGTTTGATTAGTTTTGCAGTTCTCGGATCGATACTCATGGAAGGCTGGATGAAGAAGAAGAAGAGGATGATAACTAAAGGAAGTAGTAGAGGGTAACAAGAAGAAGAAGAAGCCATTTTAGTGTTCTCAAGTTTGAAGATTAGGAGAGATGAAATGGAGCGAATTTTGGTGATGGCTCTGAAGAGAGTAGTGCTCGTATTTATGCCATTAACATCATGAAGAAGATATATAAATGCAATAATACTCTCACCATATATACAAATCTTCCTTATGGTGAATTCATGAATTATTAGTTTTGACCATGGAATTGCTTGTAAATACATTTGTCTATAGATTGTATTTGTTTGTGGGATTGCAATAATCTTCATGCCTCGCTAGAAAGTCAATATTATTCTAACTTTGTGACCGTGTATTTACTTTTAACGACATTTGTGCCTGGATATTCCTAATTTTCATGAATTCACGTGCATGAGCATAATAATCTTCCTACCTCTATAGCAAGTCAATGCTTTTTTGGGATTAATAAATTGTAAGTCAAGGTCATCTTAACATAATAACCATATATAATTGCTTCTAAATATATTTGCTTATAGTTATATGTAATCTGGTATATTCACAGGCATGAATATCATAATCTTCAGACATCGATAACATATCAAATCGATTCTAGCATTTTGATAAAATATTTCCATCATTTTTTTGGTGGAAGGAGTCACAAGTTCAAATCTCATCGCTTAATAGTTTTTAGAAAAGTGGCCTAATGTCTTAAACTATAAATATTTAGGTGCAGGTCATATTTTTATAAGTGGCAGCTACCTCCCTAAGGGGTCCTTTACTTGTACTGTGATGGCTGATTGGTTGTGTAGGAAT